CCCCGAACCTCCGAGTCGCCAGACTCCGAGGAGATCCCTAGGCCCGAGACCACAAGGCGCTCGCCCTGCGGCCGAAACGACGAGGTGACCGATCTCGGACTCGCGGCCATGGCGAACGGAAGGGGAGGGGGAGGCGGGAAGAAGTGGGCGGGGCGGGGGGGTGGAAGGTGGCCGCCGCGGTCGGAGTGAGCCGCGACGTGGGCGCAGGGCGCGGTGGACGTCGGCGCCGGAGTAGCGCACGGCGGTGGCTCTCTCGCTCTCACGCTCTCTCGCGCACGGCGGTGGATGCCTCTTCTCGAGAGGTGGGATGTGAGGACGAACGAACCACGTACCGACTGCCGTTCGAGCTTCTTCAATCAAGGCTATAAGGATGTTGTTGCTGCCATCATGGCTTTGACCTGGTCAACCGAAGGGTATGTTCTATTCATCCTTCTCATGTTTATTCTTGTGTTTGCCGTATTATATGTTTACATATATGTATCTGTTGTATGCGTATTACGTGCTCACATGTGTAGCTATCAGTACGAGATTAATATTGTAAGCGCTATTATCATGATTTATTTATGGGTTAAATCAATCGGAAAATTGCTAATTTATCCAACAATTACTTCTTTAGAAAATAGTTGCACAATTCAATTCCTACTAGTTTTTTCAGTCCTTCTTATCCACATAACACATGGAACCAGACAATAATTATGGTTGGTGGTGCGTCTCCGATCAATGGATTGCTCCCACCTAGATCTGTCTGTGGCAGTGGTCAAGAAGTAAACTTACTGGAGTTGTGTATGCTTTGGCAAATTGCAAATGGAATTTATTTATTTAAAGCTGCAGATGAAAATAAAATGTACTTATGTGTCACTAAACTTCCTGAAGTTGCATGGATGAATATATAAGCAGATGTCATGCTTGAGACGGAGGCAAGATTGAAATGCTTTCTTTCCCCTCATGCATATGCAAAGAAGAGAAGAGGGGAAATGGAGATGCGCTTTCATACATGTAATATTGATGCTGACACTCAGAGTCACAGGATACGAAAATACAAAGTGTGTACGTAACACTTACGTTAGCCTGGTTACTTACTGTTTCTTGTGAGGTTTGCAGTAGCAGTGCTATGCTTGCCTTTTAGGAGGACAGATCGAAAAAGAACCCACTCAACACCAGTTGGTCTGTTACATGCCTGAATTCTGAATGATTGAGGACGGGCTAACACATGGTGTTGCTCCCTACCGATTGTGACCGTGCCACCTGATGCAGTTCGTAACCGGTGTCAAGTTCCTATGCACTCTTACTTACCAGTGATATCGGACAGGCAAAGAGAACCTAACCTCACCTTTGACCGATCCTTCCCTTGCTTTCACTTCACTCAAAGTTATACTCCTTTACCAGTCAACTGCTTCGGCTGATCAGATCCTACATAATCTCACGTTCCAAGCAGGGCCACTAGGATTATCTTGAGTAATAAACTTAGCAAAGGCAAGCAAACATGTGAGAACAGTAGGTATACCTTCCAAAAGTTGAGTTGCAGCACCCCATACACATACACTGTAGCAGAGATGTTTACACCTGCTCATTTGAACACATCACAAACCAAGTAGAGAACACCGAAAACATTTAAGAAATCTTGATTGATTTGCAGAGTCAAGGTTAGACGCCACACTAGATGGAGAAAGCACTTGATTGTAACAGGAAAGCAGGGCAGCTTCACCATAACTAATCTCTTTATTTGCAGAGTCAAGGTTAGACGCCGTTATTTTGTTTTCAGACTATAAGACCTTGTTGAACCTCTTTATTTATCTATAAATGTGGCCGTATGCATCATTCTGATGCAGAGGCCGGGGAGTCCCCCCTTTTCGAAAAAAGAAAAAAAAAACATAACTAATCTCTTAGTAACTCCCTGACTAGTCTCTTGATTGTAACAGGAAAGTAAAGATAAAGAAAAAAATAGCATGATATTTACACCACAAATAGGAGTACCTAAGTAAACAGTTCAGCTTGACAGAAGCCAGAGACCTACGATTACAAGAACAGCATACCAAACCCTAAGATTGCAAGAATTAAACATCCAAATTTGACAAAATAAATGGCAATAATTCAGCTTGACAGTTCTTCAGATGCTGATGAGATTGGGAGGCAGTGAAGATGGCGAGCTCGGTTGCTGCTGTTGGTGCTGCTCCTTTGCTTCATCGGTTGCGGGCTCCACAGTTTCAGGAGGTCCTGCAGGACCAGATTCATCACCATCACCACTACCAGTAAGCTGCTCCTCTCCATGCTTCGTAGTCGGCTTGGGTAGCTCACTGAGGATTTGCACCACCTCCCGCATTGTGGGTCGCTGCACGCTCTGTTCCTCCACACAAAGCAACGCAACATAGAAGACGTGCATTACCTCATGCACGGGCACTGTTGACAGCCTTGGGTCCATGATCTTGATTACCTGCTCCCTTTTGGAATCCGTCATCATCTTGATCCAGTGAACAATGTCCACACCATCGCCGAACTCCCCAACCGGCTTCTTTCCCGTAATCAGCTCAAGAAGCACTACACCGAAGCTGTAAACATCGCTCTTTTCATCCACCTTGAGAGTATACGCGTACTCTGCAAATCCAGAGCGACGGTTCGTTGTAAGATTAGTGTATCTGCTTGTATAGATAGACAGTCGGCTACTACTGAAGTGAGTTGAAAGAACAAACAAAAATTCAGTACAACAATAGTGATCTATGCGCTTGAAGCGGGTGGCCAGGGAGGTGTCGGTCCTATATATGACTCTAGTGTTGCCGATATGTCGGGGTTTTTATATTCTTTTATCAGACTATTGGTGTTTGGCTGTGTGCATCGTAGTTATGCAAAGGCCGGGTGTTGCTCATCATGCTTTGTATCCGCTTGATGCTACATTTTGAGTTAATAAAAGCGCCCTTTATCGGAAACAATAGTGATTAAACCAATCTAACAACATGCAGTGGAATGCAATATCAAATAAAAATGTAAAATGGAACAGAGACTAGAAAATAACTGATTTATAGTTTAATAACAGTAATAAACCATCAGAAATAAGGAACTGAAATTCAACTGCAGACAACAATAATTAACTGAACGTGGACAATTTTTGAGACAGTACTATGTATATAGTTTATAAGCATTTCCAAACTGTAATGAGGATTGATCTTTCACCTGGAGCAATATAGCCGTAAGAACCGGCAATGGCTGACATGCACTCTGATGTGCCAGAGTCCTGCAAGAACTTGGCAAGCCCGAAATCGGCAACGTGTGCTTCAAAATCTGAGTCAAGGAGAATGTTGTTTGATTTGACATCGCGGTGCAGGATGGGTGGTGAGCAATCATGGTGAAGATAGCATAGCCCCTTGGCAGCCTCAACAGCTATCTTGTACCGAGTATCCCAGTGCAGGTGGCCGCCCTTCTTTCCATGGAGTAGCTCCCCCAGGCTGCCATTAGGCATATACTCATACACCAGGAGATTAGTTTCATTGTTGGAGCAGAAGCCAAGCAGCCGCACAATGTACCGGTGCCGAATCCTCCCAAGAGTTTGTATCTCGGCAGAGAAACCATGGTCATGCGACGAGCCACGGCTCATTGTGGAAAGCCTTTTCACCGCAACATGGTCACCATCTGGCATCGTCCCCTTGTAGACGGTCCCGGCTCCACCTTTGCCAATCATGTTCTCCTCCTTGAGGCTATCCAGCACGTCGTCGCAGGTGAATTCAAGGCGCTGGAACGCGGTGAGCCTCCATGCACGCGCTTCGCTGGCTTTCTTCAGTGACCGGGCTTTCAAGATTGCCATGGCAGCAAATGCAATGGAGAAGGCAAGCAAGACGAGGACAATGATCAGCTTGAGGCTACTGGACAGTCCACCATGAGTGTGTGCGTCATGGTCTGTGCCAGCACCACCGGGGCGGCATGGCCCGAGGTATGGTCCACACAAGCCTGGGTTGCCGACGAAGGACGTGGCGTTGAAGTAGCTGAACTGCCCGGTCACCGGCACGAGCCCAGACAGGTTGTTGTATGAGAAGTCCACGGCCGTGAGGCTCTGCATCGCAGCAATGGTTACTGGTATCTCTCCATCAAGCTGGTTCCGGGACAGGTTCAGATAGTTCAGTATCCGCATGCCGGAAATAGCCGGCGGTATATCTCCAGACAGCTTGTTCTGGCTAAGATCAAGGTAGGTGAGCAACCGGCATTTCCCAATCTCCGGCGGCACGCCACCATCGAACGAATTGCCGCTGAGGTCAGCCTTGGACAGCTGTTGTAGCCGTCCAATCTCCGGCGGTATTGCGCCGGTGAACGCATTCTGATCAAGAAGCAGCTTCCGCAGCCCAGAGAAGCTCCCAATGGATGCCGGCAATGCGCCGGTGAGCTGGTTGTTGGAGAGGCTGATCCCCCCAAGATTCGGCCCGCCCGCGCTCACCACAGCCGGGAAGCTGCCCGATAGGAGGTTGTCCTGGAGCTCCACCTGGGTCAGATTCGGCAGCTCGAATAGACCTTCGGGGATTGAACCATTCAAGAAGTTCTCGCCGAGGCGAACGCGGGTGAGCGCCTTGCATTTCCCGAGAGAATCCGGGATTGGACCGAAGAGCGAGTTGCCGAGCGCGATGAGCGTCTCCAGCTTGCCTCCGGCGCAGAGCTCCGGCGGGAGGGTGCCCGTGAGCCTGTTCGACGAGAGGTCGAGCAGCTGGAAGCGGCCGTTGCGGCCAAGGTGGCGCGGGATGCCGCCGGTGAAGTTGTTCTCCCACAACTGCAACACCTCCAGACCGGGCAGGTCGCCGACGAACTCGGGGATGTCACCCCTGAGCCTGTTTCGGAAGAGGTTGAACAGGGTGAGGTTCTTGAGGGCCGCGAAGGTCGCCGGAATCTCGCCGGAGAGCGCGTTGTTCGACAGGTCGAGCGAGCTGAGGCTCCCGAGTCGACCCAGCACCGGCGGGATGCCGCCGGTGAGCCCGTTTACCTGCAGGAACAGCGTGTCCAGCTTCGCGAGATTCCCGAGCTCCGGTGGGATCTCGCCAGAGAGCCCGCAGTTGGCCGCGTCGAGCCGCACAAGCTCCGCCATGTTCCCCAGCTCTGCCGGTATCCCCCCAGAGTAGTTATTATAGTAGCCTATGTAGAGCTCTCTGAGGCTCGTCAGGTTTCCCAATTCCGGGGGTATCTTCCCGGACAGCTCGTTGCCGGAGACGGCGAGATACTGCAGCCTCCTCCAGCCGCCATACTCCGGCGGAATCTCCCCGGAGAAGAAGTTGCCTCCGAGGTGGAGGTGCCGGAGGTGCGCCATCCCGACGACATCGAGCGGGAGCGAGCCGGTGAAGTTGTTGTTGTACAAATCAAGAATCCGGAGCGCGCGGAGCCGCGCGAGCAGCGGCGGGAAGGAGCCGCTCAGCAGGTTGCTGGAGAGGTTGAGGTGGACGAGGAGCCCGAGCCGGGAGAGCGACGGCGGGATGGGACCGGAGAGGGAGTTGGCGGCGAGGTTGAGACGCGCGAGGTAGGGTAGCCGGGAGAGGGCGCGTGGGACGGCACCAGAGAGGTTGCGTCCGGAGAGGTCGACGCCGACGACCGCGCCGGAGCGCGCGTCGCAGAACACACCAGACCACGCGCAGGGGCCGGTGCTGGCGTTCGACCACGACGCGAGCGAGCCGGTCGGGTCATCGAGCCCGGCCTTGGCATCAAGCAGCGGGTCCGCATCGCCGCCGGCCGCCTCCCTGACGGCGAGCGCGGCGAGCAGGACGAAGAGGGGGAGGTGGTGGTGGCGCATTGGGGCGCGCGTTCTTGCCCCCGTCCTCGGGGAGTGGAGACAAGAGTCAAGAGGGGAGTGTGACTGGTCCGGGAAGAGGGAGAGGAGCAGAGGTAGCTCGTGCTCATTTCTTGGATGAGCATGCGGTGTCACCTAGTGGCTGGTAGTACTAGTAGAAAACATGTGATTCGTTCTTGGATTTTGTGTCATCCTAGGCCTCTTTTCTTTTATTCACAGAATTATCAAAACACAGAAATAGAAACTAATGCCCGCTTGAATTTTACTGAATTAGCATTGAGTATTTAATGCCACATAAAAGATAGAGTAATTGTAATAGAGGTCAGAGTGTACGCTAGATTTCCTGCTAAAGATACCACAAGCAAAAAGTTATCTTCACAAAGTTCAGCATACAAACATTTTAGCCAAACTGATACTTGACATGCTTCTGTAATAGCCATGTACTCCGCTTTATTTTAAAAAACCACTAATAGTGAACAAATAATTTGTAAGGGCCCTCCTCTTATCTATCATTATAAGCAAACTCATTGCATATGATAAATCACAACGAGAACACACAATGGAAAAAACCTAACAACGGTAGAATATGAAACCCTTGACATGCACTCAAGCTCGTCATTCGTACTAGTTCATTAAGAAGATACTAATTTGAAATGAGGAGCAATGAGTGCTTACTAACTTGGTGTTAAAACGATGAAGAATTTTCTTGATGTAACTCCGCTGACTAAGAAATAGAAAACTAGAATTTCTGTCCTAGTGATCTCCATACCTAAAAATTTCTTATGAGCACCAAGATCCTTCATCTCAAACTCACTACTTAATTGTGCCTTTAAAATAGTGATTTCTTTATTGCCCTTGACAGCAATCAACATATAACAGCAAGTATGTAGGTGATCCATCAAAAAAATTAATGTAAACACAACTATCATATTCAAACCTCTTTGACGGAGTCGATTCCGGTGAATCTTGGGTAGGGGGACCCGAGCTAGTAGCCTAGATGCGATGATAACAAGGAAATGAGTTTTTACCAGGTTCGAGCTCTCTCGAAGAGATAACACCCTACATCCTGCTTCTGTTTGTGTTAATTTAGGGTGGAGTATAAAGTATAGGTTGATCTACCACGGGATTGTTCTGTGTTCTACGTGTTGGAAATATGCCATAGAAGCAATAATAAAATGGTTATTATCATATTTCCCGTTCATGATAAATGTTTATTATTCATGCTAGAATTGTATTGATTGGAAACTTAAATACATGTGTGAATACATAAACTATATTGTGTCCCTAGTAAGCCTCTACTAGACTAGCTCATTGATCAAAGATGGTTATGGTTCCCTAACCACATACATGAGTTGTCATTTGATAACAAGACCACATCATTAGGAGAATGATGTGATGGACAAGACCCAACTGTAAGCTTAGCAACAAATTGTATCGCTTAGTTTATTTGCTATAGCTTTCTTCATGTCAAGTATAAGTTCTTTAGACCATGAGATCATGCCACTCCCGGATACCGGAGGAGTGCCTTGTGTGCTATCAAATGTCACTTTGTAACTGGAAGATCATAAAGGTGCTTTGCAGGTATCTTCGAAGGTGTATGTTGGGTTGCATGGTTCGAGACTGGGATTTGTCACTTAATGTGTCGGAGAGATATCTCTAGGCCCTCTCAGTAATACAACATCATAAGAAGCTTCATGTGACTAATGAGTTTAGTCACGGGATCTTGTATTACTGAACAAGTAAAGAGACTTGTTGGTAACGAAATTGAACTAGGTATGGAGATACCGATGATCAAATCTCGGGCAAGTAACATATGGCCGAACAAAGGGAATTGCATACGAGATTGACTGAATCCTTGACATGCTCAACCGATAAAGATCTTCGTGGAATATATAGGAACCAATATGGGCATCCAGGTCCTGCTATTGGTTATTGACCAGAGAGGTGTCTCGATCATGTCTACATGATTCTCGAACCCGTAGAGTCTGCACGCTTAACGTTCGATGGCGCTAGAGTAGTATTGGCATATGTGCATTGATAACCGAATGATGTTCGGAGTCCCGGATGAGATCTCGGACATCACGAGGAGCTCCAAAATGGTCCGTAGGTAAAAATTCATATATAGGAAGTCCTGCTTTGGTCGCCGAAAAACTTTCGGGCATTATCGGTATTGTAACGGGAGTGCAGAAAGGGGTCCGGGGGTCCACCTACCCCCGGGGCCCACATGGGATGTAGGGGGTGTGCCCTGGCCTACATTGGACAAGGGCACCATCCGCAAAAGGCCCATGTGCATAGAACATGGAGAGGGGGTAGAGTCCTAAGGGGGGGAAGGCACCCCCTAGGTGCCTTCAGGAGGGAGGACTCCTCCCTAGGCCGGCGCCCCCTCCCTTGGAGGAGGGGCCAAGGCTACGCCCGAGCCCTTGATGACCCACAAGTATAGGGGATCTATCGTAGTCCTTTCGATAAGTAAGAGTGTCGAACCCAATGAGGAGCAGAAGGAAATGACAAGCGGTTTTTAGCAAGGTATTCTCTGCAAGCACTGAAATTATCGGTAACAGATAGTTTTGTGGTAAGATAATTTGTAACGGGTAACAAGTAACAAAAGTAACTAAGGTGCAGCAAGGTGGCCCGATCCTTTTTGTAGCAAAGGACAAGCATGGACGATCTCTTATATAAAGCAAAGAGCTCCCAAGGACACATGGGAATTATTGTCAAGCTAGTTTTCATCATGCTTATATGATTCACGTTCGTTACTTTGATAATTTGATATGTGTGTGGACCGGTGCTTGGGTGATGTCCTTACTTGGACAAGCCTCCCACTTATGATTAACCCCCCTCGCAAGCATCCGCAACTATGAAAGAAGAATTAAGATAAATCTAACCATAGCATGAAACATGTGGATCCAAATCTGCCCCTTACGAAGCAACACATAAACTAGGGTTTAAGCTTATGTCACTCTAGCAACCCATCATCTACTTATTACTTCCCAGTGCTTTCCCCTAGGCCCAAACAATGGTGAAGTGTCATGTAGTCGACGTTCACATAACACCACTAGAGGGAAGACAACATACATCTCATCAAAATATCGAACGAATACCAAATTCACATGATGACTTATAACAAGACTTCTCCCATGTCCTTAGGAACAAACATAACTACTCACAAAGCATATTCATGTTCATACTCAAAGGAGTATTAATTATCATTAAGGATCTAAACATATGATCTTCCACCGAATAAACCAACTAGCATCAACTACAAGGAGTAATCAACACTACTAGCAACCCACAGGTACCAATCTAAGGTTTTGAGACAAAGATCGGATACAAGAGATGAACTAGGGTTTGATAGGAGATGGTGCTGGTGAAGATGTTGATGGAGATTGACCCCCTCTCGATGAGAGGATCGTTGGTGATGACGATGACGATAATTTCACCTTCGGGGAGGGAAGTTTCCCCGGCAGAACAGCTCCACCGGAGCCCTAGATTGGTTCTGCCCAGGTTCCGCCTCGAGAAGGCGGCGCTTCATCTCGAAAGCTTCCTCTTGATTTTTTTTTCCAGGGCCAAACCCTTCATATAGCAGAAGATGGACACCGGAGACCTGCCAGGAGGCCCACAAGCCAGTGGGCGCGCCCAGGGGGTAGGGCGCGCCCCCACCCTTGTGGCTACTTGGCGGGTCCCCTTTGGTACTTTCTTCGCCCAATATTTTTTATATATTCCAAAATAATTCTCCATAAATTTTCAGGACTTTTGGAGTTATGAAGAATAGGTCTCTCATATTTGCTCCGTTTCCAGTCCAGAATTCCAGCTGCCAGCATTCTCCTTCTTCATGCAAACCTTGTAAGTATTGTACCAAAATATGTAATAACAACCATAATGCAATAAATATCAATATAAAAGCATGATGCAAAATCAACGTGTCAACTCCACCAAGCTTAGACCTCGCTTTTCCTCAAGCGAAAGTCGAAACCGATAAATATGTCCACATGTTTAGAGATAGAGGTGTCGATAAAATAAAATACGGACATGAAGGCATCATGATCATCTTTAGAACAGCAACATATAATGTCATATAATTTCTTATGTCAAAGTAACAATTAATTCACAAGATAAAGTATGAATCGGAAACTTTATTGAAAACCAACAAACTATGATCTCGGTCATTGAAGCAATTGCAATTTCTCATAATATTGTAAAGAGTCCACGTAAGAGCTTTTGTATAGCAAGTCCACATACTCAACCATCTTTTAGACTTTTATAATTGCTAACACTCATGCTATACTTATGGGTTCAAAGCCTCAATCGGACACAGAGAAAGATAGAGGCTTATAGTCTCGCCTCCCAACCTTTTACCTCAAGGGTAATGTCAACAATAATACTTTATGATAACCTACATCTGAGTGGATATATATATCTGGATCTTTCTCCAACTCAGAGTGCTTGCCAAAAAGAAAAAGTATAAAAAGGAAAGGTGAAGATCACCATGACTCTTGTATAAGGGTAGAAGGTAAAAGTAAAAGATAGCCCATTCGCAAAGGGGAGCATAGGTTGTTATGCGCTTTTATGGTTGGATGCACAAAATCTTAATGCAAAAGAACGCCACTTTATATTGCTGCTTATGATAAAGAACTTTATTATGCAGTCCGTCGCTTTTATTTCTTCCATATCACAAGTTCATATAAAGATTATTTTCTTCATACTAAAAGATCATACATATTTAGAGAGCAATTTTTATTGCTTGCACCGATGACAACTTACTTGATGGATCTTACTCAATCCATAGGTAGGTATGGTGGACTCTCATGGCAAAACTGGTTTAAGGGATGTTTGGATGCACAAGTAGTATCTCTACTTGGTGCAAAAGATTTGGCTAGCATAAGAGGGAAAACAAGCTCAACATGTTGGAGGATCCATGACAATATAACTTCTATTCAGATATAAGAAAACATAACCCATTATGTTGTCTTCCTTGTCCAACATCAACTTTTTAGCATGTCATGTTT